CATCCCTTACTATAACTATACTACCCCCTAAACTATATATATATATATATATCGGTCCATATCAATATCATGTACTACGATTTGGTTTAATCAAGTTCATTAATTTAACATGTATTATAATACCCCCAAAAAAAAAATTAGTTGAACATGAATCTTTGTTTCATTACTTTTAGACACATATTAATTCTGATGAAGAGGAGCGAGGGTCAGCTTGAGTTTTATCTCAAACGATAGGTACAAACTAAAAAAATGAATATGTAGCAAATATCATAGCAAATCCTATATTTTTAAATCTGAACATTCCTAGATATATTACGTTGTATTGCCTGTAAATCTAAATGTGCTTTTAATTAGCTAGGCAAAACTTGTATCGCGATTAACCTAACCTATGCTACGTCTGTAAATAACTACATCAAATCTGTATTGTGATTAGCTTAACTACGCTTGCATATAGCGTTGTAAAACTTTTAATTAAGTTTATTTACTTAACTTGTAAGATAGAACCCAAAATACATTTAGTTGGAAAATACTCTGCTTTGATTATGGTGTGAAAGTAATTCACTTTCTTGAAAGCTAGATATAGATTGGGAATTGATACAGATAAAGATTGACATTGAAAGTAATGCATTGTTGAACTGACTAGTTATTATGCCTCGCCGATCATAGCGAGAGGAATTGAGTATTGATAGAGATAAAGTTGTGTCCGGATTGGCATTGATAGTACAGTGATAACCAGAAAACTCTGGAATAGAAAGTCGACTTTTAAACTCAAGTAATGACTTTGGACTTGAGGCCCAGCAGTTGTGCAGTGTAAACAGACCCATAGTAAGTGATATGATAACTTACTAGTCAAGCTATCTGCTTTGTAACAACATCAAATGCAATTCAGTATTTCTAAATGTCGTCTTCCTATTCTACAGTTTTCTGGTTATCACTGTAAAGTATTGTTGAACTGACTAGTCTTATTCCTTGTCGATCATAGCAAGAGGGATTGAGTAAAGGTATATATAAAGTTGTGTCCGGATTGACATTGATAGTGCAGTGATATTGAACTGATTAGTTCTGATGCCTGGTTGACCAATGAGAGTCGATTGAGTTGTACCTGGAATGATACAGGTCTAAAATGGATTGATTAGGGCATTTACTACACATATATAGTGTTGTATCTGGATTAATACAGACTGATGTATTATTGTAGAACATTGAGTTGAAGGTTATACCTGGATTGGTACAGACTTAAGAGAACTTGGAATAAGGCATTTGCTACATATATAATATAGCATACAACCCTATACTATGGATAAACTACACCACTATACTGTAAATACAACCATATACTATGGATATACTACACTACTATACTACTGACATTATGCACCTTAGGGGCTTATTCAGGGGGGGGGCTATGGGGGCTAAGCCCCCCCCTGGACCAGTGAAATCTATTAATTTCAGGGGGTTTTCAGGCCCCAACAATTTCTGACCCTCCCCCCCCCCACTGGAAAGATAAAAAATGTAAGCCCCCCCCCACTCTTTACAAATTCCTGAATACGCCCCTGTTGCACCTCTATACTATGGATACACTAAACCACTATTGTTAACCCTTAACAATGAGTCTCCATTGTAAAGTCGTCTTTAACTTAAGTACTCTCTCGGAGACACCAAACCAAACAATTTCAACCCCCCCCTCTTCTCTCCGATGGAGTAATAAACAAACCTCACGTGTTGTGAATCTATTTTCAAAAATTGAACAAAGAATAATTTTCAGAAGTACTGTTCAAACCATTGTTAGTTCCCAACTCAGGTTGTTAGATCGTAAGCATTTTTTTCCATTATAAACATTATTTTTACCATTTCATTTTTCAGGAAATAAAGAGATTTCATTATTATCGATTTTGAGACCGGTTCATTCTGTTTGTGTATCTGCTGCAATAATCGGGGATAATAGTTCGGGGAAATATATATCCTTCAACGACCGATCTCAGTGGACTTGTTTGTTGTTTCATCTAGAGAATCTAGTTTCTTGCAGTCTACAACTATACTTTGGATAATGGATATGCCTCACTCATATACTATGGCTATTGGATAAACTACACCTGTGTCTAGATTAACTATGTTTATGTCTATTGATGTTAATCTTCAAAATATGTACATTCAACTTAAATTACAGTTTAAAAATGAGTGAAGATAGCTTAACTATGTTATATCTATCCTTGCTAATCTTATAAATACGTACATTAAACCCATTCAATATACATAGATATATTTATATATAACTCCATCATACCTATATTATGATTGCTTAGCTACGTTATATATAACAGTGCATAACTTGTAATTACACTGTTAAGGACCCAATTTTGATCTAAACTCAAGAAATATACCTTTGTCGCATTAGGAACTTCATACTGTTTACTGCAATCTTTCCCTGTTTTGATAAACAGGTTGAGGATCGTACCCCCTTTCATTTGGGATGGATTAAGAACTTGTTTGATAGCTATGTTTGTGTCCTTGTGAGGCATTTAGAGCTCAATAAATAGCTAGTGCCTGTATTGACATCAATAGTTCATGAGATTGCGCCCAGAGAGGCCTTGATAGTTCACGGGATTGTAGCCGTTTGCATTGTATCCGGGTTTAAACATTGAAAGCTAAGTGAAACTAAACTGTACCTGGATAGATACGTGTTAGATAAACCGTTCTGGAGTAGGGGTATTTACGACACACCCATCTGGATATAAATGTGTGCACTTACATTTTCAATATTTAGCCTGAAAGGAAAACGATCTATTTTTAAGATTGTAACAAATCATGATAATAATTTCCTCTCTCCTCTCACCAATCCAGTCATATTTATTTGATAAAGGCATTTAAATCCTATCGCAAAAAAAAGAAACGCCGGTATTGCGATATTTATTTAAACGTCAGAAATTTAGAAGCATCATCCGGCCAAGGACGTACTTAATTAGGGAATTGTCTGGTAGGCTTTAAGGGGGCCCAAAAACTCCCTTGAAGCAATAGATTTCACTGACCCAGGGGGTGGGGGAGCTGAGCCCCTATAAGCCCCCTGATTAGGCCTCTGGTCTGATCTTTTCTTTTGTTTTCTATTTGCATCCGGAAACCTTTGATTTAATTGTTTTTTTAATCCATACTCCCTCGCAAGACAAGAAATTGTATTAATCTAATCAACCTAATCCTCACGCGAAGTTTCATAAAAATTTGAGGAAGGGGGGGATCTAAGCAAATGTTCTTGAAATGCTTCGAAGTATTTCAAAACTCGCACCCAGTCCGCACAGAACACGGTGACGTTTGCTATTGTTTGTTCTTTTATCTTGTTCCATGTCTTTTCATCTATTACCCAAATATTTACAATTGAAACAGAATTTGAAATATATATTCTGAAAACTTCAAAAAAGGCCTAAATGCTCCAAATTCAATTATCTGTACGAAGGCATTTCCAATGATAGCATTTTTTTTTCTGGGATAATGTTGTTTTGTGGGAAACCCTAAGATCCTTTCATTGGAAAAAGAGGAAAAGATAACAACCAGTGATCATTTAAGCATGGATGTCTAATGTCTATACTTATCTTAGAATGTTTCGTATGCAGGCATTTGGAATTTCAAGTGACATTTGACAAAAATTATGTTCTTAATCTTAAAAAATTACTTTTTCTAATTTTTTATATTTATTTCATATTTTACTATATTATACATTAAAAAGTAAACATTAGATCAATTGGTTTCAAACCATTCAGCAAGTTTAATTTTCATTCACAAATATTAGTTGCTTCCATAAATCATTTTGTTCAAGATTTTAAAATAAAACTGCTAAAATTTTCATTTTAAATTCTCAATGAAAACTAGCAAATTTTTTATAAGCAATCCTTTCATTTGTTTCCATTTTTCTTTAAATTGAAAAATGATAAATAAAATTTTAAAAAATACATTTTTTCCTATGACCGCTTGATAAATTTAACGTAACTTTAAGTTTTTACTACTTTCATTTTTAATGGTGTCTTTTAATTAAAATTGATTAAGGCGTCTTCGAAAAAATATTCAATGACTCAATAAAAGATACTGAAAGGGACTGTATGCATGATTTCAATTCACCCTCTAATTTACAACAATACCCAGTAAACCTTGGAAAATAGAATGTCACCAAAACCGTGTAACGTCATGTGCACGGAGTAACATAAAGGGTGTCCCATGAAACATGACGTAGTTGGTAAATAGTTCAGAATGTCTTCTTCCATAATTTGTTAAGTTGTTAATTACCAAAGGTAATAATAAAAATAAAATAAATACTTTATATAATATATAATATAATATATTTGAGCAAAAGATTTTTTAAACGAAATAAACAGCAAATAACCTTTAATACCGTGTAGGGAAAACGACGACGACTATTTACCAACTGTCCTTTTTTGTAGGTGTGTTGATTAAGATTACTCCTCATTTTCTCGTCCGATCCACTTCGAAATCCTCGTCCTTTCAATATTATTCTTTTAAAGTGTCTAATCCTCCCAGTTAAAATTTGGAATTGGAATTTTTGTAAATCAGAAAAAAAGTCTCAGTTGAATTCAAGTTTTCTAGTTTAATGTCTTTGAAAATGTTCACCTATTTTACGCGCATTTTCAAATATTCCTAGTGTAGAATGCCGCAAATAATTCCGAGTTTATAGAACTTCAATCTTTTCAAGTTAATTATAGTGTCAAAAATGAATGCAGAGTTATGCGAAAAGTATTTTTAATTTTTACCTTAAAAAATTCTCATGGGTTGGAAGATTCCAATATGATGCAATCATTGCAATACTTCAGTCCATAGTCCATCCATGTTTTATGCCCTAACGTGGTCAGATTTTTAAAATATAGTTTAATCTTCAAGAATTGGAAACTTTTTAGCACAAAATAATCGAGAGACGAGGATTCCGAGGTGGCTCTGACGAGAAAATGAGGAGAATATGTGGCTCGGACGAGAAGTTGTGTGGCTGGCCTTCCTACCCTGACTGATGTTATTGATTTTAATTTTGTAGCTCACTTAAAAATTTTGTTTAAAAACGTTGTGCTTTATAACAACATCAAAATGCACACGATTGTTTTGAGGTTGGCTTCCTATTTTGTAAGTTTTGGGTCCCTCTGTATTACAATTGAATCTTTAAAAGTACTTTAACTGTTAAATGAAAATATCTAACGATGCTACTGCTAGTTAAAGCTACGTTGCCAAGATTGAAAAGGTGCGCGAAGGCGTAAGTGCTTTTTAAGGGGCAGGGGGGGTGGGGAACAGTCCATAACCACCCCCCTCTGGAGTAAAATCAGGGAGGGGGAAGGGTAAAGAAGCTCGAACATCCCCTGTGCATGCGTATAGATGTGAATTCTAAGGTGAAGGCAAGTTCCATTATAACTATTATTTTCTGATCCTCGCATATATCTAGAGAAAAAATCTTACATTTAAAATACATTATTTTGCTATATATCAACGGTCTCTGACATCAAGGATTAGAAAATTAATTAAAACATTATCAGAGCAATCAGATCCTTTAAACATCTTAAACCTGTTCAAGTTTTCTAAATAAATTGTAATTTTGTGAAATACATAAAAAAGTGTTAAGCACGAAACATCTCTGTACAATATGTCTGTACATATTTGCAAATACTATTCCCGAGTAGTATACAGTACAGCTGATGTGTGTACGTACAATGTACAGTATTCTGATAAACTTAATATTATTTGACTGGAAGTCTCTCCAAAGTTATCAACTCCACATTATTCGGCATCTAAAAATAGGAAAAAGTAAACCCTATCCATTTTTGGGCATGCCTCCCCCCCCCACACTTCTATTAGAGCCCCTCTTCCAGTCCCTTATAATCCATAGTTTAAAGTATACTCCAGCAAGGTTTAATATTTTTTATCCATTTTCATCAAAAGAAACTGGATAAAGAAGCTTAATAGAAACTTGAAATTACTTTTCTAGGAAAATTTCATGGTAAAAAGGAAAGATAATATTTTTTGTATTTTTTTCAATTTAATTTACTGAAAGCAGAGTATAGTATTTCACAGAACAAACAGTTTTTGCTTGGCTACTAAACCTTGATACAATAATTTTACAGATTTGGACAAGGATTTCGACAGAATTTGGAAAGGATTTCAACAGAATTTGGACAGAATTTAGATAGGATTTATTGGACAGGATTTGGACAAGATTTGGACAGGATTTGGACAGGGTTTGGACAGAATTTGGATAGGATTTATTGGACAGGATTTGGACAGAATTCGGACAGGATTTGGACAGAATTTGGACAGGATTTGGACAAGGATTTGGACAAGGATTTGGACAGGATTTAGGAAGGATTTGGTTAAGGATTTGGACAGGGATTGGCAGAATTTGGACAGGATATGGACAGGATATGGACAGGATATGGACAGGATATGGACAGGATATGGACAGGATATGGACAGGATATGGACAGGATATGGACAGGATATGGACAGAAACCAATGATGTCATGCATAATTTCTTCAAAATCTTTCTGCTACCAATTGAACTTGTATTTGACTTCATATAAAACTAAAGATAAAATATGAATTCTCAGAAAATGCAATTTTCCAATGAATTTTGATCTACATATGTATATGCTTTATGCAAATGTATTTATACTGAATATTTACCAAGGAGTTTTAGAACTGCAAGAAAGATATGAGGTTTGTTTACTTTCTTTTCTCTTGCTATTTTTTTCTATTATAGATTGGGGGAGGGGGGTGTTTTCAAGGAAAGCTCATGAAAACAAATCAGACATCTAACTTTATTGGTTTGGTGAAAGACGACTTTATCGCAAAACTTAACTTTATTTGATGTTGTTACAAAGAAAATAGTTTTACAAGACACTTATTAAATTACTATTTAAGCAAAATAATTCTGTTTACACTGCACATTTTTGTCTCCAATGCTTATTAGAGTGCTGAAAGTCATAAATTGAGTAAAAAAAGTCGTTTTCCTATTCCAGAATTTTATTGGTAACACTGTATAAGAGTTGCTTTCTCTGTTTACAATAACGTAGAATTGGATCTAGCTTTATCGTAAATCCTAAATTTACTTTTAAAAAACTAAAGTTTGGCTTCGTTGTTTATGTTCTTAAAAGAAGAACTTACATTTTTGACTGTAGAAGGATAATGAAGCATTTTCATTAGATTTTCCTTGTTGGTCACATTCCTGGGAGCTCCATATCCTGGAGTATACATAAATCATGTACATTTCGTAGATGGGGGGGGGGGTAGTTTCATGAACACAGGGGGATTGCATTTGTTAATTTGTTTTGTGGGAAAAGATATTTCTTTTTTACCTGAAAATTAATTAGATTATATACTTGATTTGTTTAATGATTTGCTCGAAGCTGGAAACTTTTGGATATACAAAATCCCGATCGCTTGATCTCGATTTACACTGCGAGCACTTTTAATTTGGGGATCCACTTTAATCTCTCCGATACAGTTATTCGTTCAGGGTACGATTACCATGCGGGATATCGAGTATATATTAATTTAACTACAGATTTACAAAAGATCGAAATCCAGCACTGATTTCGAAATCAACAATACAATAGTTCCAAGCTCTGTTTACATTATAATGATTTATTTAAAATGGATCTATTTACTTTCTTGAATAATCCATTTATTTATTCTATTAAAGGGGAGACTTCAAATCAGTAAGTCCCAAATCCAGTCCTTAAATCCCCTTTAAGTAAAATTGTAACTCATGTTTCCCTTTAATTCCATTTTAATGCAATAAAATCTTAATACAGCTTTTCCTCCTTTATTTAAAGAACAAGAGTGAAACACGCTGATTCTTTGTTCTCTTATAATATTGTTTCAGACTCAAGCACGAATGCCACAAATTCTGTAAAAAAAATAAAAGACAACATTCAAGTCGTCTTTCTACTAGAAGTTTTGTGGGACACCCTGTACCTGGCCTGCCCCAGTAGGATTCCCAGGACTGAAAATGTAACTTTTGCTGCTCCTCGTCTTCATTTCTTCGTTGCATAAACTTATGCTGCTTCTCACCAACCTATACATAAATATATGCTGCTTCTCACCAACCTATCCATAGACATATGCTGCTTCTCACCAACCTAATCATAAATATATGCTGCTTCTCACCAACCTAATCATAAACATATGCTGCTTCTCACCAACCTAATCATAAACATATGCTGCTTCTCACCAACCTAATCATAAACATATGCTGCTTCTCACCATTCAATACATGAATTTATGCTGCTTCTCACCAACCTAATCATAAATATATGCTGTTTCTCACCAACCAATACATAAACATATGCTGCTTCTCACCAACCTAATCATAAACATATGCTGCTTCTCGCCACCCTATACATAAACATATGCTGCTTCTCACTAACCTATACATAAACATATGCTGCTTTAGCCCACCCTATACAAAAAAAAATGCTGCTTCTCACCAACATATGTAAAAAAGTTTAAAGGGATCTAGAAGTAATTTCAAGTAACCTTCATAGTCATTTGTGGCCTTGATTGTCGCGAATTCGACAGTTATGTACATTCAAATTCAAATTCAAATTCAAATTCAAATTCAAATTCAAATACATATTTCCCGAAATGGAACTGCTAAAGTTTCGAATATTCTCTGTCAAACACTGCTTTTGAAAATTCTAATGCAAAGTTTTGTTTTCTGTGACTGACAGAAAACAAATTATGTGTTTTATATAAAGTTAAATTACATAAAGCTATTAATAATTACAACGGTTTCCATTGAATAAGAAATGTGTGAGCACACAATTTTTAGTCAGACAATTAAGGACTTCAATGGTTATCGCCAAAAAAGGTCTCTGGTTCCAGTATGATTTAATACATATCGTCCTTGGAAAAAAAGTCCTGAGTAGAAAATGAAAATGATTCTAAATTGAATTCGATATTGATTGCTACATTTTTAACCATTTTCTCCTTATAGACGCAACAGGTAGAAGTAATAAAATGTTCATACAGAAGTAAAATTACTAGCGATCGATACCGAAATCAATTCAGGATCAGCCTATACCCCCTTTCATTTTTCGTGAACACTCCCTTTAAGAATACAAATCTTGCCCTGTATATGATTTATGTTGTACAGTTGTTAAGTCCCAGAAATATTTTTTACAGGGCTTTAAGCCCAATTACATTTTTATCGGGACTTTTTCCCCAAAGTTTTTATTTCTAGGTTTTTTCCAAGAAACTTCTTTTCCCGTGACTTTCTTAAAAAGATTTAACTGTTTAATCCTTAATCCACCACTCTACAAACAGAGGGTCCCTTTAAACTCCTGTACAGTCCTTTTTCCTGTTTTTTTCTTCATCTCTGTTTTTCTAGATTTTACAAATAATGTTTTTGGGGAGGAATATCCCAATTGTGGAGTTAATTATAGTAAAATATTCATTAATATATCTTATATATAAACATAAATAATAAATAGCGCAATTAGCATTTTTGTGAGGAGCGGCGACATTTCATTATAATTTTGCCCCCGCTGTTTTCAGTATTTGAAGTAAAAAACAGCATTTTTAATATAATACACCATTTTGTTCTTGTGTTTAAAAAAATAAACTTCCAACAGCTTTGGAATGAACGAAGCGCGAACAAAAATGTCTGTTAGTTCCTGGCTTAGTCATATTCACTATGTATGTAAAGTAAGTAAATAATTAAGTAATCTTCTAGTCATATTTGTCATAGAGTAATAAAACGAAGAGGTGAAGATTAGCTCAGATGTACACAACCGACCTGTCTATTAATTAATTAATAGACAGGTCGGTTGTGTACACCACTATATGTTTACGTATCTAACGTTGTACACTTGTATATAGAGCGATCGTATTTCTAAAGGGGGATTTTATGGAATTGACCAATTTTTAGATTTTCTTTCATTATTTAAAGAGAATTCGAGGATGTTGACTGCTAACATTTGACAATTTTCAAATTTGTAGGTTTTCACTTTTCAATTTATTAGCTAAAAGTTCTGCCAAAAGTATTAAGTTTCTAGGGCATGAATTTAACTTAAACATTCTTATTTCAAACATTTTTTATTGTTTCTTCTCTTCAACTCTTTATCATAAACATGATAGTGTATGAAGGGTTACCCACAAAGATGAAACATTGATGACGACCTGGAGCTCCTAACCCTAAACAGGCGGGGGGGGGGGGCATTTGGCTCCCCCCTCTAGTTTTTTGACTTTTCATAAATAGAAATTTAAAGGACTTTTTGGTAATTTTTTATGCCTAAGGTAGGGTGCAGGGCGATAAAAACCAGAGTAAGTAAAAAAATCTTAAATAGCCCATAACTTTTTTATAACTAAAGCTTCAGATCTGAAAACTATAGTTTTGAAAAGCCCTTAAAAACTGGGTGTAGAAACGTGTGTCACACTTTGATATTTGTTTTAAACAAAAAATTATTTTTTACATTTTTTCGACCTTATCTATCTAATCATTAATACTAATATTCAAATATCTACATTAAACCACTCCTTAGAAATACGATCACTCTATACAGCGTTAGATACGTAAACATATCGTGATGTACACAACCGACCTGTCTATTGATTAATTAATAGACAGGTCGGTTGTGTACATCTGAGCTATAAGCTTCACCTCTTCGTTTTTTTACTCTATGATATTTGTCTACTATTAGTCCCATAATGTAAGGTTTGTGAAGTAGTAACTATAGTTTCTGGCAGTACTTGACTATCTTTCGTCTGCCCATAATCCATAATAATAATTCTCTTTCTGATTGAAGTCCTTCTGTCCTTGTTTTCCAGTAAGGGGCTTATTCCTGTTTTCATCTTATAGTCTGCAAAAGGCTTACAAGTCCAATATATTATTTTTCTTGTTATTCTTAGTAGGTTTTTAAGGTTTAAGCTTTAAAGAAAAATGGTGGTATGTTTTTTCTTAATTGCAAAATTTGATAAAAGATGGTCTACAATCATGATCATGCTGGATCCAAGTAAGGGAGGCAAAATATGCTGAGGGGGGGGGCGAAACTCGGTTCGCCAGTTGCGCCACTGTATATGCTGTATTTTTTTAAGCATACATATGTATGTAACTAAACAAATATTGACAAATATCTCTATATCTATTTATATATAATATTTCAATCCTGATTTCCCACTTCCAATTATGTAATGTAAACTTTATGTAAACATTACAGTTATAAATCACATTCTACTTTACTGTTTAGTGTACTTTTCTTACAAACATTGCATTTTTGAAAAGTTCTTTATACAAATTTTTTGCAGTCTATAATATAATTTGTACACTATAAATACATTCTATTAAAGTTTTATAAATTTATGTACAGTATTTTATACATAGATTAATAACAAAAGAACACTATATAGATGTCTTCTTTTCAAGATTTTTGGTCTTTTATTAACAATAACCCCTGAGGTAGACGGCCAAAGGAGTTACTAAATTTTGAAAAGACGACATATTATAATCTATTTTTATTGTTATTAATCTATGATTTTTTACCTGTCCTGTCAGCTGATCCCAATACAGCTGTTTGTTTCCAGTACTGTGCCAGGGCTGAGATCTAATAATCAGTCGGATTCATTAAACATTTTACAGTAGCGATTTAGCAGCGACTTCCAGGCCTAGCCAGCCTGGGGAATCGCAGCTAAATCACAGCTAGAAAATATTTAACGAATCCGAGTATTTATTAGAAAATTTCTTTTTTTTAGGGAACCTGAAAATAGCTTGTTTAACCTTGAAAAGGCCTGACAGGTCTAAATTAATGTATAGCCCCCCCCCCCCCAGAAAAGGTCTGTTCAAGCTATTTTGACAAGTTATTTTTTGCAAAAAAAATTCTCTAAATTATTATATCGTTAAAAAATAAGTGCGATAGCATAAAAAAAGAGTGTGGCTCCAACCCCCCAATAGAGTTTTTTCCCAAATATAAAATTAATAATATTTTCTATTTTACTTTTGCTTATTTCCCTGCACAATTGATATTTAAGCTTATCTGTTGATGAAAAGTGTCTTGTTAACGTCAAGTTTAGAATTTTTATTAAACTTTATTTTTAATAAAACTGATTGAATATAAATATTAAATACTTCAAAGGCTTGGGAAAAATTTATATTTGAATATTTTGGAAAATTCCGGGAAAAAATATAAATTGAAAAACATTTCTAATTTCAGTAAACATTTTAATATCTATAAAATTTATTCTTAACATTTACACTCGATAAAGTAACAAGTTTTAAAGGATTTTCAATCTTTTATTTATTTCAATAACAATAAATCATATTTTTCATCAAATGTTTTAATTATCAAACCATTATAAATATTTTTGACACACACTAATAACAAATAAAAAGAAGAATGGTAGTCAACTTAATTCTTTTGTACATAACCACTTTCCTACAGACCTGATCCCTACCCTAAGGTCTGAAAAAGCCCGCTTTCATTTTATATTGTAATTTAATTGTGGTAATATTTTATACATTTTTAAAGCCTTTTGGCTGTACAATAATAATCTAAAAAAAATATTTTTATAAAGCTCAATAATTGTTGCCAAATCCAGTTATTTAACAAACAAAGGATTTGAGTCTTTGCCACAAACTCCGATTTCTCATTTTTACATCTTTGCAACCCAATAGCATTGGATATTTACAGTCAAAGTTTACACACTCAAGCTGCAAAGATATAGAGATAAGAATATTTGGGTTTGTGGTAAATAATATATTCTTGTAATGTGAGGAGGTGACAGAGACGATTTCTAGATTTAAAGAATGAACAAAGTCGACAATTGTTCTGCTTTAGATTAGTTTTTAGTTTTTTTCCCCATGTCATTATATTTTTTCCTTGATGTCTAAACTCAAAAGTAAAAATGCAGAAAACTGTGATTAATGTGATAAAAAAAGCGCTTTTGATCTCAACTAATTTTACTTCTATCTGTTGCGTCTATGAGGAGAAAATTATTAAAGACGTCTCATAACGATGAACGTAGCGCCCATACAAACTAAGGAAATTGCAACATACGACTTAGACCGTAAAAAAATTCAATTTTATTTCAAACAAATCATTCAGATATTACAACCTATAGTCATCGATTATCTTTCGCCAAATTTGTATATATCAAAAGCACTTTTTTATCGCATTAAGCCTATACCCCCTTTCATTTTTCGAGAACACTCCCTTTAAAGCGATAGTTAAAGTGTATTTGGTGTTGTTACAAAGGAAACATTAGTATAGCTTAAAAATCATTTATAAAGCGATCTGAGCACACTGTACATGGACTATTTAAAAATTGACTTGAGTGTAAAAGTCATATTCCTATTCCAGATTTTTCTGGTTCTCACTGTTTATATGTGAAATCTAGTGAAATCAAACTTACCCTTTTTGATCAGCGTGCTTCGTTACATCAGTTGAAGAGAGACCATGGGACAACATATTTCCTGATTTTTATTATTATTGTATAAAAATATGCAGGGTGTCCCACGCATAGGGTTTCCATCAAATGGGGAAGTCGTTTCGCGAAAGTTCCGCAAACATTTTAGCTTTTTTTCGGAAAATTTTTCAGTATTCGTTTCGCGAAAAAATCTGGAATTTTCGCCATTTTTCGCTGAATTATCTTAAATTTTATTTTTTAAACGAAATTACGCATTATTTTCGCTTCCTGTCTCAAAATTCATTTTCACGAAAAAATGGGAAATACGAAAGAAAGTTTTTCGCGAAAGTTTTCATTAGCTGGAAATCCTGCCCACGAAACATGACAGTTGGTGAATAGTATTGGATGTCTTCTTCCATATACTGTATTATATATGAAAGACTTCTTTCAATTTATTTTGTTTTAAAAAACCACTTTTACTCAAATATATTTTACTTTAAAATCAATTTTACTATTGACTGCTAGTGCTATAGTTTATATTATTCTGCTTGGTATTAAACCACTTACCAAATTATGGAATAAGACATTTTAAAATATTCACCAACTGTCATATACAAAGATAATATATATATAGATATGCAGGCAGGTAGAAACCTCCTTCCTAAATTGCTTGTAGCAGACAACTAATTTTTGAACCTCTGAGAAAAGGTGCAAGGAGAGACATCTACAGCAAATTGATTACTTTCTATATTCCTTTCTCCCCTTGCTGCCTTCTGTAGGAAATACGCATTTGTGTTATAAATTTCACTTTCTGATAATGGAATACTGCAGATATTTAGTTTTTTAACTAAATGATTATAAGGAACTCTTTAAAACTGTTCCCGCATATTCATGGCTATTTATTTATTTTCGCAAATACTGAAATTTACGTAATATAGTATAAAACTCATTGAAAAATTGTCAAGACGACATTTGACAAATTCTTCCGATGTATTCTTTATTAAGGGTTTCACGTTATATATACCATATTACATAGAGTAATAAAACCAAATATAAATATATATATTCATATTTAATAAGATACAAATTTATTTATGCTAAATTAAAGAATATTTGAAATAATTAGTTCAGAGGCCTTTAATAAATAACGAGACGTAGTTAAACTTTATGAATTAAGTTAAGTTATTTGTATCAAAAAATCTTGGATTTTTGTAAAATTTTGAAAATGCGCGAAAAAAATTATTAAGAGTAGATGCTGACAATTAAAAGTTAAAATAGAGGATGGGCGCGAAGCGCCCTAAAAGCCTAGTTTTGATAAACTTAATTAATCTTTTTGTATTAAGAAATATCGTTCCCAGTGTACATTATGTTACACATTTTGCAGCTTACTTTCAATAAAGTATAGACATAGTTTAATATATGTATATTTATTCATACAGCTCCCATGAACTACAAAGTTCAGACAGATATACTGTTTCGATATGAGGTTACATACTCTGGATGCCCTCCAATGAAGGAAAATGTCTACTTTTATTTCAACAATTACTCTAAGTCCTCATATGACGTCACTTATACTAAAACAATCATCCCATTAACAAGTAATTGAAGCTAAAAAAATGCAATTCTAATTCAAGTTTTCAATTTTCAAGTTTAATTATATCTAGTGTACCGAAAATGTATTATTCTTTAAAATAAGCTGTGACGTTCATATGAGGATCTGGAGTATTCATTGCTGTAAAGATCGTCTTTACCTTCAGAATATCAACCTTAATCGTACAACCTTGGGTACGATATCCTAGTGCAAACTTGGTTCAATAACCAGTTCAAATTATGCAAATATAAATTGAGTAAAATATCTCAGTTTGTAAATATTACATATTTCTTAAATGATATTTTACAGCGTAGTTATTGGAACACAAAATTAAAAACAAAACTATAAATTGGATAGCATGAAGTATATTCTGTAATGATGTGCAATTCTATCTTTGTTATTCATGCTAGTAATATCGTTATCTTAATTATTTGTATATTGACCCAGCCGGGCTAGCCCGGTCAGTTTCATTTTTACCGGTTTATAAATAAAGTAGTTTGATTAATACGGACGTATAAAGAGCCTTGAGTATTGGCTGAGAGTAGAGAGCCTTGGGTTTTGGCAAGAGATAGAGTTAGATACAGGGTGTCCCACGAAACATGACAATAGGAAGACGACTTGAAAGTCGTCTTTGATATTTGAATTTATTTGTGACATTTAGTCTTCTATCTACTTTAAAATGTATGATTCTTGAAACAATTATCACATAATTCTCCTAGCCCTGGCATTTCCAAAAAGTGGTCTGCGTTTTTTGTGCTTTCAATATTACCGGAGATATAAAGAATTTGGTTCAAATTTCAATTTTGTTAAATAAAAGCAAAATTGTCGAAATCTGAACGAAATTCTTCATATCTCGGGCAATATTGAAAGCACAAAAAAGGCAGACCACATTTTGGAAATGGCAGGACAAGGGAAATTTTGTGATCATTATCTTTAGAAATTTACTTCTAAAATTAGGTTGACAAAATAAACGCAGCAAATTATATCAAAAATCAAGACGACATTCAAGTCGTCCTGCATACTGCCATGTTTCGTGGGACACCCTGTATGTTCTCATTAGACTTTGAGTAGAGTTATCATTGAAGTTATAGCATCTAGATTTACTACAAGCATTTTTTTCAAAGTGATGAAATTTCTTAGTATTTCACAAATTAAAAGTTTTTAAGTCGTTTTCGTTTATTGTACAGTGAAACCCAGATATATGTATACATTGTAAGAGTTTTTTATAATGTCGTATTCTCAACCTAATTAAGATCAAATGCCGCGGAAAAACAAGTACACATATTAATAGCTGTCCTGCATATTTCAGGGCTTTTAATTTACCTTGAAATTAAAATTAAAAGTAGTTTCTTAAGAATCAAACAAATTATGACTCTCAACAAGGATATTTGGATATATTTTCAAAAAACTTATTTAACCCTTCAAAGCTGCGAGTATCTCAGCAGCTTTCATCATGCGCAGGACAATGATAAAGCATAACAACTATCATAATCTTTGAAATAATTTCAAGACGACATTTCATGCACTCTTGTTATGTACATTGTACCCTTGTATGTGAGATCAATTGTAGATAAACAACAAACAAACAAACAAATAAGAAACAGTGTATATCTTTATATTTACCTGTTTTTGGATCCTTCTTTGGCTTCCCAGTAAACTTTTCCTTCATGAGAGGAACCAGTTCTATTCCAACCTGGAGAAGGACATAGGATTAATTTCAGTTCTATTCCAACCTGGAGAAGGAGATATAATTAATATCAGTTCTATTCCAACCTGGAGAAAGAGATAAGAATAATATCACCTCTATTCCAACCTGGAGACGAAAATAGGAATAATATCATTTCTATTCCAACCTGGAGAAGAAGATAGGATTAATAACAGTTCTATTCCAATCTGGAGAAGGAATTAGGATTAATACAAGTTCTATTTTAACCTGGAGAACGAGAAAGGATTAATAACAATTCTATTCCAACCTGGAGAAGGAGATAGGAATAATATTAGTTTTATTCCAATCTAAAGAAGGAGATAGGATTAATACAAGTTCTATTCCAACCTGGAGAAGGAGATAGGAATAATATCAGTTCTATTCCAACCTGGAGAAGAAAATAAGATTAATATCAGTTCTATTTCAACCGGGAGAAGGCAATAGGATATATATCAGTTCTATTCCAACCTGGAGAAGGAGATAGGAATAATATCAGTTCTATTCCAATCTGGAGAAGGAATTAGGATTAATACAAGTTCTATTTCAACCTGGAGAACGAGAAAGGGTTAATAACAATTCTGTTCCAACCTGGAGAAGGACTATAAGGATAATATCAGTTATATATTCCAACCTGGAGAAAGAGATAGTATTAATCTTTCGTAACAATCCCCAGGTTATTAATTTTTTGCAGCTTTATTGAAATCACATCATTTTTAAGAAATTGGGAAAATAAATTTTGTATTGTCTTTAAATTGAATAAGTAACCAATTTATAAATGAAGACTTCACGTAGGTTGAAAATCAATACATATCCAAAGACACATCCAACAAAAAATTTGAAAAAAAAATATGTAAAATTTGTTTTCCTTTCTGGTTCTCACTGTAAAATTTTGAGATTTTAATAATATTTCAAAATTGTACGTTCTATATGTTTGCTTTTATTAAAAGTAAAAAAAAATCTTTAAAACGGATTCGATTTTACACTTTGTATACTTCGTTACTTTTTTGGTTCTAAAAATTAGGGTTTTTTTAAAGTAAATGATGGATTATTTTTTTCGACATTTTCAATTTTATTATTAGAAATTTTAATGGAATTCTAGTTGTTGACTTTAAATTGCGTGTCTTATCAAAATTTGTGAAAACAATGAAAACTAATTCACAATTTATTGGAAATATTGAGAAAAAATGCTTTCTGAAAGGAACTGTCCTTGTAACTTTTAGTGACCCTCCATTTACAAAAATAAATTAGGAGCATTTTATATGCACACGGTACCCTTAAAACCCTATAATCTAATAATATGGAAGAAAACTTTATATTTTTGGACTGAAAATGAATAGACAGTTTGGAGAAACAAAAATATGGATTTCTAATGCAAACTTGATCGGACAGTTGATAAAGCTTTTCAGGGTAAGCTGTTGGGATTCGGAAATACCACGTGTATCAATGGAGGGTCACTTAAACTTCCTTTACAATCTCTTTTAGTTTCAATTATTATGATAATTATGTATCTTAACATTATTCTTATCCGGAAGGTTTAGATTATTTTAGTGAACTATACAATTGTGTAGTAAAAATATTATAATGATTGTTTCCTCCATAAAGTAGTATAAAGAGTGTCTTAGAAATATGAAGTTTACCCCAGTTCGAAATAAAACTCTAACTGTAGGTAAATATTTGAAAGGACTTATGCACATTTTTGTGGACAAACTGTTTGTTAAATCAAGATAAATTTTACCATCTATTTTGAGTTTAAACTTTGCAAGCATACTTAGGATATAAATAATCCTCCTCCATGTAATATAAATCATCTTTTTAACCAAATTTTCTCAAACTTGTTTTCAAAACCCTCGCTCGGAAAATAAATGACATTAATAATTAATGAATAATATTTTTAAAATTGTAAACTTTTTACTCTGGAGACCATGGGAAACCATTAGAGACCATAGGAGACCTTTTAGGCCACTGCAGACCATATAGCAGACCATTGGATACCATTAAAGACCATTAGAGGCTATCCAGCGGAAACCAGTGGGACTAATGGAGACTACTAAAGTTCATTGGAGACTAGTGGAGACAAGTGCATACCTGTTGCATTCAGTTCAGTGGAGACCAAAATGTTCCGTGAAGTCCAGTTAACTCCAACAGTGGAGCCCAGTGAGACCAGTCGAGATTAGTGGAGACTAGTGGAGACCAGTGGAGACCGGTGGAGACCAGTGGAGCCCAGTAAGACCAGTTGAGATTAGTGGAGACTAGTGGAGACCAGTGGAGACCAGTAGAGTCAAGTGAAGACCAGTTGAGACCAGTGGAGACCAGTGGAGACCAGTGGAGACAAGTGGAGACCAGTGGAGACTAGTGGAGACCAGTGGAGACCAGTGGAGACCAGCGGAGACCAATGGAGACCAATGCAGACCAGTGAAGACCAGTGGAGACCACTGGAGACCACTGGACAGCTTTACATGTACGATTCACAACAGTAATCTAAATTCAATTTTTAGCACAAAGCACTGAGATAAAGTGAATTTTCTAGATAGACAAACGAGGATATTTTCCTCGTTGTTACTCAGATAAAGGTTAAAAAGTTACCGTTGTAAACCGGGTATTTACTTGGTCTTTTATAATTTCCCTTTTACTTACTTCACTTGTAACATCCAAGTGTTCGTCATGTCTTCTCTGCGCATTATAACTCATATCCCTGAATATCAAACAATTTTTTAACTTTTAAAAAAAAAAGTATTTAAAATTTATAAATTGCTTTCCTTTTCATGTCCTCTGCTTCATTCCTCTTGACTTCCCATACTCTCTTTCTTGGATCTCCAGACCCAGACCAGCCCTGCAGGGGAAAATAAGGTTTAGTAAAGGGTGTGTCTCAAAAAAAGGAAGTTTTTTTGGTGGACCCTTTTTTGCATAATAGAAGTCTCAAGTTTGGATCCCACGGAATAACATTCAACTATGGAGGAGGTCCTGTGCCTTGTCGCTATTATTGATATTAAAAGGGTCCGTATCAAGGGTATGGGCCCAGGTATCCCAACAAAAAGACTTAAAACACTAATCCAATTTGATTCCAACTAACAGCCAATGCTATACAAATTGTTAATTCATGTATATTTGCCGCGTCATCGTATGAAGTTGTAGTTGTGGCGCTCCATGTCCGAGTCGTTTATTTTTGTATTTGTATATTCTTATTCGTATTTTTGTATTTGTATTTTTGTTTTTGTATTTTCGTATTTGTATTTTTGTATTTGTATTTTTGTATTTGTATTTTTGTATTTGTATTTTTGCATTTTAGTATTTTTGCATTTGTGTTTTTGCATTTGTATTTTTGTATTTGTATTTTCGTATTTGTATTTTTGTATTTGTATTTCTGTATTTGTATTTTTGTATTTGTATTTTTGTATTTGTATTTTTGCATTTGTATTTTTGTATTTATATTTTTGTATTTTTATTTTTGTATTTTTGTATTTGAATTTTTGTATTTTGTATTTGTATTTTTGTATTTGTATTTCCGTATTTCTATTTCCGTATTTCTATTTTTGTATTTATATTGTTGTATTTGTATTTTTGTATTTGTATTTTTGCATTTTAGTATTTTTGCATTTGTATTTTTGCATTTGTATTTTCGCATTTGTATTTTTGTATTTGTATTTTTGTACTTGTATTTTTGTATTTGTATTTTTGTATTTGTATTTTTGTATTTGTATTTTTGTATTCATATTTTTGTATTTGTATTTTTGTATATGTATTTTTGTATTTGTATTTTTGTATTTGTATTTTCGTATTTGTATTTTTGTATTTGTATTTTTGTATTTGTATTTTTATTTTTTTATTTGTATTTTTGTATTTGTATTTTTATTTTTTTATTTGTATTTTCGTATTTGTATTTTTGTATTTAGACTCCTTATAGAAAAACTGGTCCATATTTCAGAATGCTAGTTGAACCCTTCAAGTTCAACACTTATAATTACTCATTGGAGATTTTATGTATTAAACAATTTACAAGAAATTTAGCTGAAACATTCAAAATTACGTTTGTTTGCTCAAGAACTTGAAAGGAAAATTATTTTTAAGTTTTAAGAATTTCTGCAAGAATTTATCAAAGAAATGTAATTGTATTAGTTCCGACTTCCGTTCCTTTGCAGTCACAGACTCTTTCAGAGATTATTATTGTCACTCTGCAGGAGGATATAAACATTTCTTAGATATCATAACATTATTTTTTTAAGTTCTAACAAAATGGTCCAATTTCGAAATGAGTTCGGTATTTAATCAATAATTATGATCAAAATGTTAGCGGTTCTTCTTTCAATGAAAATTGGATCAGGCAACATTTTTTGAGTGGAATGACTGAACTGTTGTACCGTATATATCATTTGTACAAACTTTAAAAAAGAAAGATATAAGAATATCTCTTGGATTTAAAATCCCAAAGTGTTCAAAGGACTGTCAGCGTAATTTTAAGTGAGCTTCCATTTAACAAGCTAGGGTCATCCTCAAATCACAATGATACCCTTTAAACCTTTAACTGATCTTCGAGGACAGAGAACTCAGTGTATATATCTCTTAATGCTGTGTAAAAAGTCTTTATATTGGAGTGAACGGTAGCCTATTGTATGAATTCAACGCAAATGACGTTACATTTATTTCTATGTTCAACGCAGTTTTCTAAAATTTGAAGTAAATATTCCTTAAATATAAAACAGCTTGTGAACAAAATTGTGAACAATTACAAGCATTACTGTAGATAAACTAAAGAAAAGTGTGTCATTTTTGATCAGTTTTGTTAATTGGACATGTGCCTATTTAATGGGAGTGCTCGCCAAAAATTAAAGGTGGTATAGGCTTACGGCGAAAAATAACAAATTATTCCACGCATTCGTACATAGTTTTTTTCATAATATTTTTATTTTTCATGATCTTAGAGTTACTTTTAAAAACATTTATTCCTGTTTCGATGATATTGAAGACGAAATTTTCATATTTTCCAGAAATCTCGAAAATTGACTAAATACAAAAAAAATTGATGATTATTGTTTGTATAATATCTGGATGCTTTGTTTGGAATTAAATTGATTATTTTACGATCCTAGTTGAATGTTGCAACTTTCCTAATTTGTATGAACGCTATAACGTTCTTTAGCAAGAGTTGCTTTTAACCATTTCCTCCTTATAGACGCAACAGATAGAATTAAGCGCTTATTTTTTGCCATAAGCCTATACCCCCTTTCATTTTTCGCGAACACTCCCTTTAACCGTTGTGTTATTCAACCACTTAAACTATTAATTTAGAATTACTAATCAAGGATGTTGAAGGTTCTAAATGTTCACCATTTTATCATAGAATCCTTGACCAGTAACAGCTGATGATCTCCAGTAGGTTCCTCCAGGTCCTGGTCTACCCCATTCATTACCAGCTGTATCCTCCTAGAACACAGTTAGGAACATTAGTTCAAGAGTTGCATGATCCCTACCAGTACAAGGATGCTGGTCTAGTGTTTACCGTACAGGCCTATCTGGTTTACCCAGTATGTGGTTAACCTAGCCTGTTTTATGCAACAGAAAGGTTATTTCTCTCGGTAAAAAAAAAACATTTAAGACAACATTTTTTAATTTATCTTCCTGATTAATTGTCATAACGTTTAAAAAACGATCCTGTAAAAACGATAGTATTCGTTTTTGAAAAATTCAAAACGAGTGTTTTGTTCGTGACCCATCGTTTTATTTTGTGATATATGGGAATTTCCGAACCAATTTAAGATTTTACTTTTTCATACTTGCACCGTCCCTGATAGTAACGTTTTTTTATAAACCTGATTTTGGTTTTTGTAAACAAATCGTACTGCAAAGTTCAAAATATACGCATTGTATCGTAAATTTATCAGTAATATTGGAACCTATTTGACTTTAGGAGTTATTCCATCACCCGAGCGTCAATGGTATGTAAACCTTTATGTAAACCTTTTAGGTTTGTTTATTTTCGTATTTATATATATACTCGCTTACAGGGGCGTACGAGGGCTTCGTTTAGGGGGGGCCAAATTTTAAGTCCCCCCCTTGGCAACATTGTGCCCCCCACCTAAAAAAAAACTTTTTTGAAAAAATATTGATACCTTTTTAAATTTTTTAAGGGGATGGTTTTCTTTTTTCAGTATTCTCTGATCAAATAATATTTCAAAACTGTATTCGAGCATGTTATGTTGCATGCATGTTTAACAGAAAAGAAAATCCAAAGAATTTGATTTTATCAAAAGGATTTGAAAGCAAACAAATAAAACCAACAAAGTTAATATTTTATTTCCTAAAATCAAGAAAAGTAGAAAACAGCAAAACAAAATGTTGCAACAAACTCTGGTTTTCTATTCCCTAGGTGTTTGCAACCCAATGTCGTTGACATATTTCAAACTATGAATTCTGTTAGATCAAATCAATTTTCAGTTTGTGGCAAACACCTAATTTCCTTATACTTATACATACACACATACGAACTGCATGTAGTTTCAAAGGCTTGATTTTAAATTGTAATTTGAAAAAAGCTTTTAAGAAATCAAACGTCGTCTTCTTTATATTTGTGTATACAACAACCTATGTGCGTCACAGTAAAATGTATGAGAATGTAAGACATCCTTTCTTCTTATCTAAGAACATGTTTATTAAATCTCCATGTATACGTTGAGCAGATTATAAGATCAGAGAATGAATAATATTTCATTTTAAATTTATGTAATTGAAATTTAATTAGTAATTATCTGGTGCACACCATGTGTTTAGCAGCCTCTAAATTGTTTTGATTTTCCGCAGCTTTATTCAACATCTTCTCCTTTACTTGATCATCTAGAGGTAAAATAATATTAATTAATTAATCATAATAATCATCGAAATTAACATTAATGAATTATATGAACCAAATTTATAACATTTTTTTGATTGTTTAAGATATATAACATATACATAACACTATAGTAAAACATAAATATTAAGTAAAAACATTAATATTTTGTGAAAAACATTAATATTTAGGAAATACAAAAATATTAAGTAAAAACAATGAAAAAAAAAGACATTCAGAAGTATTAAATATAAGCAAATATTTATTTTAAAACATAAATATTACGTAGCATAAATATTAAGCAAAAACCATAAATATTGAGTAAACATGAGTATAAGTGAAAACATAAATATTAAGTAAAAAATTTCAGTTTTGCATAATGACATAAATATTAATAAAGAAAATAGATATTTCGTAAAAAAACAAAAATGGAGAAAATATAGATATTATGTTTTTAAACAAATGTTCTTATTAAAAAAATAAATACCTAATTCTCTATGATACAATGATTTCTCCTGCCTGTCTGTTTGATATCTATATAAAATAAAAATGTTATAGATTTTAATCTTATTTAAAAGGTTTTTAAAAAGGTTTTTAAGAATATGTTAAAATTTTTGACAAGAGTTTACGTGAAAATTTATCTGGACAAAGATAAAAGTTTAGAAGATTTGGCAATTATTAAAATATTTAGTTTTTGTGTAGCCTTCTCTTTTTTTACAGGGGTACCCGGGAATTTGTATACTTTAATTACTACATGAAAACTTTAAAATGTTGAGATCTGAAGGTTGAACTTGAATTTATGCCTTAAAGAAACATTTTTATGTTAACAATGTTTTGGCAAAAAAAATAAATAAGTTTACAGAACCCAGGAACAAATGTAAGAATAAAGAGTAAAGTGTCCGTATCCCTGTATCCTAGATTAATTAGACCAGGAAAAAGGAAAAACGTATTTGAAAAGAGAAACGGCAATTACAATAATTAAGATGAAAATCCTAAAAAATCTAGATTTTAATTATGTTTCACCTAATAGCATTGGAAATTGTTTTTTGAACGCTCTCGTTGTTCTGAAACCTAAAACATCAATATTGTTTTTTTTGTTTTAAATATTTATGTAAATTTGACCTAATCTCTGGGTTTCCAGTTATAATAGTTTTAAGTCGACCAGATTTAGTCCTGACAGGTGCTCCACAGCCAGGCCTTCCAAACTTCAAGGCGTCCTATAAACATATAGAATTAAAGAGACGTGGGCGTTACTTCAAGGGATATTTCATGCAAAGATGGCAATGCCCAAGGTTATAATGCAAGGAAAATTATTTCAGAGGTGTACGCATCTTTTGTACTGCAGTGTACTGTCCCTGGGCGGTAAAGAAAACACAAGACGGATGTCAAAGCCTGACATTGGATCCATCTTTTTTCATAAAAAATCGATGTAATATTCTGGTCATGGGAAACTAATATGTGAATTATCAAAATAACCAAAATGTAATGCTTTTAACCACCTCGGTTACTAAGCGAACACTAATGCATCTATTCTTGTTTACAAATTCCGCCTAAAGAGAACTGATTTCAATATGTACGAAGAGTATACGCAACCAAGATTAACTTTCCTTGCATTATAACCTTGGCAGTACCTGAATTACAACGTACTATTTATACCTTGACCGGATAAAATGTGGAAGATAACGTCGGTTTTCGGTTCAGTTCTGATAGTCTTTCTTTTTTTCTTATTAGCGCAATTACAAATAAAAATCAACAGTTTATTAAAAAACATGGATATCTAGATCTAATACCGACAAAAGGACACATTTGTAAATCGGTCATTCCCATATTTACATTAACAGCCGCCTAAAATTCGGCTCCAAGTTTATTTTTTTAAAAATTCAAGGATTTAGGTTGCCCAGTGGATACAACGAAAGTAATAAGGCTTTTTTTCATAAATAACTAGCTAACAAAATAATTAAGTCTGAAAATTTATTCTAATATTGAGATCAATATGTTTTAGATCAATTCGAAGAGTTATTTCCATGTTATAACTAAAACGATAAAGAAAATTGTGAAAATTTATAAAACAGAAAAACGACAATATCTTCCCTTTTTTATACTCAGTTAGAGCTTGTACATGATTTACATTAAATCGAAAATATCACTTTTAAAACTGGGGAACACATACGGTTTCATTAAGCTTTTAAAGATTTAGTGAAGAATTGGCATTGTATTAAATAGTTTACAAAGTTATCATATTAAAAAATCTTTGCTCTGTTAACTTGATAGTGATGTACAGTTCCTTGTCTTTCATGTACCATTTATGTACCTTATGTTTAGTGCCCTTATGTACATCTGTGTGTACACGCCCAATCAGATGTTTTGGAAGATTTTTTACATTTCGGATAATTTTCGGCTCAGCTTTGGACGGAAGGTTCTTTTTTGGATAAGGAAATAGATTTTTGGTTTTAGAGAATATGTTAGGGTTTATTCGGAGATACTCGGAGGAAGAAGTGAAGGGTTTCCCATAGGAGAAAGGTAGAGTCTCAGCAATCATCTTGCAATAAAACTTTTCTGATTATTCAACCATGCTGAAAAGGAGATTGCTCTGAAAAGTTTGAAAATATAAAAACTTTTTCTTTGAAAGTTTAAAACTATAAACTGATCTTTTCTGCATTGGGAATAATATTGAAGTCTTTGAATAGGAGTAAGGGAAAAAAATGGTAGATCAGTTTTATGAAAAGAAAAAGAGGCAAACATTCACTGAATTATCTTTGTGTTAATGTAAAGGTTATAGATACTCTGGATGCGTTCCAATTTACTATAGAAATGTCGTCTCCATGCATTGCAATGACGTCATATATGGATTTTGAGTGTATTGCTATGGAGACGACATTTCTAGTACATTGGAGCGCATCGAGAGTATGTATTAATGCTGTAATAATTGCACAATTTAAACGTCTGCTTGGCCTAATGACTACACTACACAAACTAGACGTAGTATAAGCTGCCTAAAATTTGTGTACAAAAGTGTGCAATCTTAAATCTTTTATGACTTAAAAAGAGCCATAATGTAGACGCAATATTTACGTAAATCAGAAAATAAAAGAGAATGTAATGATTCAATGAAACCACATGGAATACTATTTTTTAACAAATCTGCAAAACTGTCTGACCTCAGTCTTGAAACCGTGTTTCATTAAATGCTCTGTCTAAAGTTTCGGACTCAGTGTTTACAGTACAGTGTACACTGTACAGTGTTCAGGGTACACAGCTATGTGTCAGCTGATTTTTTCAGTCACTAACTGGTTCCTAGGCTTGTCTAAGGCCTCAGAAGAAAATTAGATTTTTTTAAGAAAAAAAAATTATAATAATTTTCCATTATGTAAAGGGACTGTACACTTGATACTCTCCATTATGTAAAGGGACTGTACACTTAATACTCTCCATTATGTAAAGGGACTGTACACTTGATACTCTCAATTATGTAAAGGGACGGTACACTTGATACTCTCCATTATGTAAAGGGACTGTACACTTAATACTCTCCATTATGTAAAGAGACTGTACACTTGATACTTTCCACCTTGGCCACCTAGCCCATCCTAGCCGCAGGGCTCGGTCCCCCCGTTGCAGCCTACGGTGCCTGAAAAGGCCTAACCTAATCTTGCATTTGGGAAGTTGCCGCTTGGAAAATTGCACTCATGGGAAGTTGCCACTCGATAAACTGTCGCTTGGAAAGTTGTCCTTGGAAAATGGCGTTTGTGAAAATACCTAACACCTGGCAGGCTACCCCCTATACAATCCTAGTTTGAGAAAATACCTAACACCTGGCAGGCTACCCCCTATACAACCCTAGTTTGAGAAAATACCTAACACCTGGCAGGCTAACCCCTATACAACCCTAGTTTGTGAAAATACCAAACGCCTGGCAGGCTAACCCCTATACAACCCTAGTTTGAGAAAATACCAAACACCTGGCAGGCTAACCCCTATACAACCCTAGTTTGAGAAAATACCAAACGCCTGGCAGGCTAACCCCTATACAATCCTAGTTTGAGAAAATACCAAACACCTGGCAGGCTACCCCCTTTACAACCCTAGTTTGTGAAAATACCTAACACCTGGCAGGTTACCCCCTATACAACCCTAGTTTGAGAAAATACCTAACACCTGGCAGGCTACCCCCTATACAACCCTAGTTTGAGAAAATACCTAACACCTGGCAGGCTACCCCCTATACAACCCTAGTTTGTGAAAATACCTAACACCTGGCAGGCTACCCCCTAAACAACCCTAGTTTGAGAAAATACCTAACACCTGGCAGGCTACCCCCTATACAACCCTAGTTTGTGAAAATACCTAACACCTGGCAGGCTGCCCCCTATACAACCCTAGTTTGAGAAAATACCTAACATCTGGCAGGCTACCCCCTTTACAACCCTATCAGACTGCTGTTGTAAGGTAAATGATCTGAAAGCTATTTATAAGTTGAAGCATGAAACTCCAATTAACCGACGACTCCAGAACTGGTACAAATCACGGAAAAAGAAAATCAAACTGAATTACTCAAACAATAAAAATATTTTTTGAGTAAACTATTACAGAAAATTTTCAAGTTTGACAATATTTTAGCGTTATATAAAAATATTCAAAGTAACTTCTGCTATCTTAATAACTCTATAGTTTATGACGGTTAAACAACCCGTGTGTTATTATACAAGGTTACCCACAAAGGATGATACTGTAAAGACGACCCAAAACTAAAAAAATGACGATGTGAAGCTTGATTTTTGGTTTCTGCATTTTGGTGGGTTACTAAATTTTTAAGCACAGAAATCAGCCAGTTTTGGCCTGAATTAAGGAAACGTATTAAAAAATTCCGTACAATCGTCTCTGAAGTCTCATCCTTTGTGGGTACCCTGTATAATTCTAGATAGAAATAACTTCTTTAAAAGTTATTAAAAAGTTATTTCTAGATGATGGAGATGATGTACTACTCTATAAACTTATATATTTAACTGTACCTTTCTACCATCCTGAATTTTGGACCAAGTGGGAGTTCAATGTTTTTTTAAGAACTTTTAAAATGAAACTAGTTTCATGCCTCAAATTCTCATCTTTTTAATACCTTTACCTTTGCAACCATATGCAACCTTTTAATATCAAATTTTGACACTTTTTTATTTTTTAGCATGTTTTTTTGCGCTGTTACCAAGGTGAAAATGAATCAACGTTTTATTTCTTGTGTTCGTTTCAAAATGAGTATAAAACAGATGTTAAACTCTGCCTTTTTGACGATTTGAGAGTAAAATTTGGTTTTTGATCTTGAATATAGTCTGTTGTGGATTGTGGGTCACTTTAATGATTTGGCACAGATACCATACAGATAAAGCAATAAAGAAAATCATTAAAGTTAGAAGAAATTCTCAAAGGGACTGTGTATGCGTTATTTCAAGTGACCCTTACACGCAAATTCATACTTGATCTACGTTTAAGACATTAAAGCCATTGTTGTAAATCCTGCATTGCCATCTTTGCATTGAGGGACGCACAGAATTACGCTTTGCAGTCTCATCCTTTGCGGGAAAACTCGGAATAGAATACATTCTTAAAACCTTTTTAGTCTTTGTGTTTCAGATATACTGTTACTAATTATGTCAATTGAAAACGACTTAAAGATCCGCTATTATGTTGCTTAAAAATTGTTTCACTTTTAATAAGCAGTTCATAATATGGTTAAATGGAGGGAAAAGACAATTTCGACTATATTTGATTTATTTTGGCACTTAATAGGTAGTTTACGTTTTAGAAACAGGAGTGATTTACTGTTTTTAGAAACAGGAAGACTAGAGGTTTTTAGGGATTTAGTGTTTCAAGAGTCATTAAAATATCAAAGACGACATTACAGCCGTCTCTTAACTATCATGTTAAGCGTGACACACTGTCTGTACTTACAGTTACATCTAGATCTAGATAAGAAGATGAGTCCTCTAAGTTTCTCATTGTTCTGCTGGCTGCTGGAACAAATTCATCTTCCTAAAGTTTAATTAAATCCTTTTAGGTAGGCACTAACCAGATTATAAGGGATGGACAAGGGATTCTAAACGAAAAATATTTTCTAAAAAGTTTTTTTTAAATTAGGAAACTATATTTTTTTAGGGGGGGGGGTTACAAATTATATTGAAAAATCGCAAAAAAATCTTTTTCATTCATTCAATAATACGTTAATGTTTAGTTGTTCTTGTCTTCAAAAAATATTTTTCGTAAAAAATGGCAAAACTATAATTTATTCAAATAAAGTTTGCTGATAATTAACTCTTATTGCAAAACTCTTATTTTATCCAAATGTGTAGAATTTAAGGTTGAAAATAGTAGAAGAGGGCTAGATATATTTAAATTTATCGACCAAAGCACAAAATATTTGCTGTTTAGTCTAATTTGTATAATCTGTAGTTATTAGCAGGGCATTTCCGTTAACGAACGTCTAGTTTATACCTGTAGACAGATCTACCTTGTCTAGTTCATACCTGTAGACAGATCTACCTTGTCTAGTTTATACCTGTAGACAGATCTACCTTGTCTAGTTTATACCTGTAGACAGATCTACCTTGTCTAGTTAATACCTGTAGACAGATCCACCTGGTCTAGTTTATACCTGTAGACAGATCTACCTTGTCTACTTTATACATGTAGACAGATCTACCTGGTCTAGTTTATACCTGTAGACAGATCTACCTTGTCTAGTTTATACCTGTAGACAGATCTACCTTGTCTAGTTTATACCTGGAGACAGATCCACCTTGTCTAGTTTATACCTGTAGACAGATCTACCTTGTCTAGTTTATACCTGGAGACAGATCCACCTGGTCTAGTTTATACCTGTAGACAGATCTACATTGTCTAGTTAATACCTGTAGACAGATCCACCTGGTCTAGTTTATACCTGTAGACAGATCCACCTGGTCTAGTTTATACCTGTAGACAGATCTACCTTGTCTAGTTTATACCTGGAGACAGATCCACCTTGTCTAGTTTATACCTGGAGACAGATCCATCTTGTCTAGTTTATACCTGTAGACAGATCTACCTTGTCTAGTTTATACCTGTAGACAGATCTACCTGGTCTAGTTTATACCTGTAGACAGATCTACCTTGTCTAGTTTATACCTGGAGACAGATCTACCTTATGTAGTTCATACCTGGAGACAGATCTACCTTGTCTAATTCATACCTGGAGACAGATCTACCTTGTCTAGTTTATACCTGGAGACAGATATACCTTGTCTAGTTTATACCTGGAGACAGATCTACCTTGTCTAGTTCATACCTGGAGACAGATATACCTGATCCAGTTTATACCTGGCGGCAGATCCACCTGGTCTAGTTTATACCTGGAAACAGATCTACCTGGTCTAGTTCATACCTGGAGACTGATCTACCTGGTCCAGTTTATACCTGGAGTCAGATCTAACATATCTAGTTCATACCTGGAGACAGATATACCTGGTCCAATTTATACCTGGAGACAATTCTACCTGGTCCAGTTTATACCTGGAGACAGATCTACCTTATTTAGTTCATATCTGGAGACAGATATACCTGGTCCAGTTTATACCTGGCGGCAGATCCACCTTGTCTAGTTTATACCTGGAGACAGATCTACCTGGTCTAGTTTATACCTGGAAACAGATCTACCTGGTCTAGTTTATACCTGGAGACAGATATACCTGGTCTAGTCTTTACCTGGAGACAGATATACCTGGTCCAGTTTGAACATGGAGACGGATCTAGGTAAACCATCAGAAAGTTGGTGCTCAGTAAACTTCTTCTTTCTAAAATTAAAAATCAGAATTAAAGGATAAAAATAAATATGAGCAATTCTGACACTTCATCTTCCGCCAATTATCAGTTATGCCATATGAAGATTTTGTGTTTATATGCTATAAAGACGACATTTCTAGTATATTGGAGGGCATCCAGAGTGTCTAAGTTTACCCCCCCCCCCTAGATCTCACTAATACTTTTGTGAAGCCCTAGGCATGAATAATTTATAACAGTCTGCACTGTTCAAGACAGAAGACATTGGGACAATTTAAAGAGTTTTAAATTAGATATTGGATTACCAACCTAATATCAACCGTTGGAGCTCCATGGCCTGGTCTTCCAAACATACGTTGTCTAAAAAATTAATTGGAAAAAAATATAATATAGATCTGAAATGATTTCGAAATTGGAAACATTTGCCAAAAAATTCCAAACAGAACTCCAGGGATACAAAAATGTGTGTTTTTTTGTTTTTAACAAAATATCGTGATTTTGAACTATTTCCTCTAGTTCACAAAATGTCAGGGTCTGTTTTTGTGACAGTGTATGTTTGTGCTTCCGACAGTGTATAGATTATCAAGTACAATAGAAGGGTGTTAGGTACTTCCCAAAGGCATTTTCCCAAGGGCGACTTCCTAAGTGACGTTTTCCAATTGGCAACTTTCCAAAGGTTAAGTTAGGTCCTTTGAGGCGCCATAGGCTGCAATGGGGCCGAGCGCTGCGGCTAGTATGGGATAGTGGGCCGAGCGCTGCGGTCTAGAACAGGCTGGGGGCCGAGCGCTGCAGCTGGGACAGGCTTAAGAAGTTGCATCCTGGGAAAATGCACATTTGGAGAGTTACCACTTTGGATAATACCCTTGGGAAGTTGCCACTTGGGAAAAATCATTTTGAAAAATACCTAACAAAAACACCTAATAATGGCAGACAAAATTATTGATAATATTGATAATTAAATGCTTATCTTACATTGAAATAAGTGCAATTTGATGTGCTTTATTTCCAGTTTTTTTAACACTTTTTTATTTAATCTTGGAAACTGATAAGAGAAAATGTTGTTTTCAGTTTTTTATATTTGACACTTGTGACGTCATGTATGATTTGTTCATTTCTCTGCTGCCACCTTGCAACTTCATAATCTATTTGGTGTATACTGTATATAATTGTGACCTGGCTAGCTCATTAATATCATTGAGATCTCTTTTAGATTGATTTTCATCCTCTTTTATCTTCTGCATCCAAAGAGCTCTAAATCATTATTTTAATTAAAAAGAAACATTTGATAATTAAAGGTAGTGTTGGGTAGTGGATACAATAGTTCGTTACAACAATTCACTTTGCACCAAAAACAACAGAGTATTACAGTACGACAATGCAGTACAGTGCAGTACAGTTCATTTCAGAACAACTTTGCAATACAAAAGAAAGGCATAGTTACTATAACATAGTTTATGAGTAACATAGTCAATAAGGTATCGCGACGAAGCTTGTGCACGAATGAAAGGTCGATAACAGAGATAAGAGAGTTACAGAGATTGATTATCAGCTAAAATATGCGATATTTTTCACAGCATGTTCTATTGTGTACTGTACACGACCAATCAGCAAACATCTGTAATCAGGGATATTTAAGGATCCTTTGGATACGAAACACAAAATCTTCAAAAAAGACTTTATTCATAAATATTATGTTTTTATGTTTAAAATTGGAGTATTTCTTTAAAAGTTGTAAAACTTAACCCCTGAATGGGGATTATATTCAACAAGTGGCCGTGAGATGGCACTCTAAAAACCTATCGTAAAAAATAGCATGTCGTGCCGGGTTAATTCAGGCCTACGTAGTCCACCCTGTGAAAGGAGATAAGCAGTATGTGTTGTCTGTGATGACTACCTTACCCTGTTCCATAAGTACCCATGGTTTAGAGCAAGAAATATATAGACCAGGAACCTGTGTACTGCAGTGGGAGGAGATCAAAACAAAGAATTTAGGGGCAACGCATCATTTTTGAGGGAAAAGGGCCCAAGGGCTGGAATAAAAATATATTGCTTTTGTATTTTCCGTTTTGACCAGAAAGCTAAAAATCATAACTATTCGCTCTTATAACTTGATATATTAACTTTTTTGTTGGACTCTAATATCACATCAGAGCTTTAGTCAGTTCCCTTCAACTTCTTTGGGGGCACTCGGTTTGTTTACATTCCTCCCACAGAGTACAGTACACAATTTGCATATATCTGAGTTGGAAACTCCTGTATATATTTCCTTGGTTTAGAGTAAAAACTTCTCATTTTGTGATTAAAGTCTAAAAACTTTAAATGTTTAAAAACGGAGCCCATATCTGTTGTCATAATGCCCCTCGCTATCGGCTAAAATCTGGGCAAGTATACCAACTAGCTGCCTAAGTGCTTCATTTTAAAATTCGAGATCGACTAAATCTATAACTTAGACCTTCTTCTTCAATTTATTGAATTTCAATATTTTTAGATCTTTGCAAAGTCTATGAAAAAATTGGATGCAGATTACATAAGTTTTGTAAAGATATTTTGCAAACTTTTTTACACTCCTGGAAATTTGCTCATTTTTGCTTTCTTGAACCCTAAACAGGCTTTAGATTTTTTGCCCTAGTACTCTTATTTTTAACACTATCATCGTGACATTTTTTTTCTTTTATTAAATGGAAATAATTAAAGAATTTTAATTTTTTTAATGCACAGGTACAGGTACAGGGCTATAAACATGCATTTCAATCCTAAGCCTATAACAATCTAAGGCATTTTTCCAGGGCCCCAGGCAATACAAAGATTCTGAATCCCCTGCAGCCTTTATAGGGTTAACTACAAACTAAGGGACATTGTAAATTTTAATACATTTAGTGAAGACCTTTACAAAAATGTATAATTTGTCCTCTTTGACGTAAAAATTGGATTATTTCTAATTGGAACTCTTTTGACCTTCCTTCCTCCATCATGGTCCTCTCCTTGGTCCTCCTCTCCTCCTCCTCCTTACTTCTCTCAACCATATCCAAGTAGGAAAGTGAGTCCCCGTCTAGTGGATGCTTGTCCCGTACAAACCAATCTAAACAATATAATTCAATTTAACGATTATTGGCAAATACAGATATTGGAGTTGGAAGGGGGGGGGGCGGTAATCCCCTAACACTCCCCTGGTATTTTCCTAAGTTAAGATTGGGGATTGCGATTTTATAAAATTGGGGGGGGGGCAGGGGGGGAATTAGGGGTGCCGAGATTTAAACAAATAACTCTTTTTACTTAATAAACTGTTAAAGATTTAAAGGAGAAGTGGCATTCTTAAGACCAGGTGGGTCGGGTCCCCTCCACGCTAACAAAGACGACTTCACCAGGTGATACAAGAAGTGGTCGGGGAGGCACCAAAAGTTTACCCGTGTAGCTGGATCCTATCATCCTTTATTGAAAAATCACAATTAAGTTTTTTTTTCTTTGATAGATACACCTCGTATATATGAGCAAAGAGCTTTTAATAAAACAAATCTTTGCGGTAAACAAAATATATATAAATAAAGGTGTTTAGATCTATGTTTTTTAAACTTTTAATTAAATAAACTCCTTATTTAGATTAGGAGTCCTGAGTCCAAATTTAATGAATTTGAGCCGCGTCTCAAATCCGCCAAAAACCAGATTCAATTGGGTGCTTAAATCTTGAAACATTGAATACAATTTTAAGTGGAACCACTTAAAGCCGCGGCTTAAATTTTTAAAATTCGGCCTCAGGTTATAAGCCAGTGAGTCTTGACTTTTAAATCCATTCTCAAACATTTTTCGAATTTGCCATTTTATACTTTTATATGCTATTTTCTCTTCTTCTGCTAAAACAAAAAAAATTTTGTAAAAAATTATTTTGATGATTTTTATTCTACTTAATTCTTTTCATAATATGAATTTTTGAGATAGGTAAAAATGTCTAAATTAGAATAGGAAAATACCCATATTGTATTTTTTAAAATATGTTGATTATACAAGTATGAACTACAGATTTTCTGAATTTAATTTCGCGCATTTTCTCCGAAACTACTCATCTGACCTGTGTTGAAGGATTTAAGGTGTGAGAAAAATAATATTTTCCAGANAAACAATTTAGAACAAAAGGAAAAGGAGGAAAATGAAAAGTAGTAGATAGAGGAAAGGTATTGAAGAATAGAGAGGAAAAGAAGAAGAATGGATCGTAGGGGGAGGGGGACAACCCAGCACACAAAGTTTATAATGTTTATGTTTTATTTTGTTTTGTTATAATAACAGGGGAAAGGGGATAGAATCAAGATTTAGCAAGAAAAGCCATTTCGATTTATACAACGAAAAGTATTATGTTATGATATGATTATGATTAATGAATTATTAAACAAAACCTGTCTAAATTGTTCTTTTTATCTAAACTAGTAAAATGTGTGATTGTTTTTCAGATGAAAATAAAAATGCGCTTCGAATCTAAAGGTTTTTGATTATATTTTTTGGAATTTTATGTTCATATATTCAGAAAAGCTTAGCTCAATAGCACTTAAGGGAAAGAAAACATAGGCAAAAAAGTAAAAATATCTATCTTAATAAACTTTAATGTTTGATAAGTTAAAAATCTAGTTTTTTAGTCTGTAGTCATTAATTTTGACTCTTTTTGGTTTTGGTTTTTTTAAGTAAATAAAAATTTCGCATGCAGCGTGTCTTATTGTTCCTAGATCGCGGTTTTTTTTTGAACAGTTGAACCATAAAGAATTCATCAAATGTCAAATATCTCACTTACTGATAATGGAATGTTGCAGATATTTAGTTTTTTAATCAAATTATTATATCAAGCTCTTTAAACCCGCATATGCATGGCTATTATTCATTTTCGCAAATACTGAGATTTACTTACGTAAAATAGTATAAAACCCATCGAAAAATTGTCAAGACGACATTTGATAAATCCTGTATCCACCCCAGTGCGTGGATATTTTAAGAGTAACATTACCGATTCACGACGGTACCCTTAAAACCTTTATCTGAGCAAAATTGTCCTTTCATCAAAACAATTTCTTTCACTGGAGGGTCCGTCGTCCGTGACAGTTATAATTTTAAAAGGAATTTGCTTAGAAATTTAGTAATTTTTTTTTCGAAGACGACATTATGAAAATTCTTAGGTCAAATTTATTAAACAATGCATTAAAAAACAAATAGGGTTATTTCAACTACAGTGTGGGCTCTTGGACATAGGTAGAGAAATAGTTTAACTATCTTTAACTTGTTTAACCGTTTTAAAACATTCGTTTAGAGGATGATAAGATCTGTATACATTGTGTGTCCTACGAAACGTGACAGTTGCTGAATTGTATAGTTTAGATTGTCTTCTTCCATAATTTGTAAAGTTGTTTGATACCAAAGAAAAAAAATATTGGAATCATATTATAGTAAAATTGATTTCAACCTAAAATATAAACTGCAAAAATCCTTTAAAATCCAATACAGTATATTGAAGAAGGTACATTTAAAACTGGCATGTTTCGTGGGACACCCTGTAGCTGAAAAAGGATACAATTTAGACACTCGATCACATACTACCTGTTGTATCCCCTAGCAGTTGAAATCGGTTTAAAACTACTTGATTATACAGTGATAACCAAACAACTCAGAAATAGGAAGACGAATTTCTGCAATAGTTAATTGTATTTAAATTGTTTCAAAGCAAATAGTTTTACTAGACACTAACAAAATCACTATTTAATCGAAATGGGTCTGATTACACTGCACAGTTACTGTGTCCCATGCTAATTGGCCACTTTTTAAAGTTATAAAAGTCTAAAAGTCCTTTTCCTATTTCAGAGTTTTCTGGTTATCATGATGTATTTTTTTGAAAAATCATTAAACCCCTTTTAAAATCAATTTCCATTTTAAAAGTAAGTAGTGTAATGTCAATAGTCCCTGCACTCGCGTCTATAATTTCAGTGACGTCATTTAGGAATTTAACTTTCCTATCCATTACGACTTTTTCTGTACATTGAAACCCTAAAATCAACCTTGGGCCCTACCAACCTTAATTTACTTGGTATGGAAACGTTTTATACTGTCGTCTTCAATATTGGTGTTTTTATGACGAACAAACAATGCATGGTTGCTTACAAAGGGTAAGGCTTGAATAACGACTTGCAATTCTTCAAATGTAATGATCGAAAATTTTATTTTATTTTTATTTTTTTTAAGTAATGATTTTGTGAAGAAATAAGGATGGAAAATGACTGAATACTAATCATATGTAAATTGTGATTGCTTATTTGTAATATCTCATGCTTTGTAGTTGAGTAAAAATATGAAATGAAATGTACAGGATCGTCTTTGAATTAGCAGTCCATGTGGGTAACCCATTTTAAGTTGGGCTATTTCCGTCCAATATCAGATTGTTGTAGGGGGTGTTTTGAACCCCCTCCCCTTTATAATTTAGAGGGGGGGGGGTAGACCTAGTTCAAAATTTCAAGGCTAGCTCATAAAAAAATATACCTGTAACTTTAATGGTTGTACGTGGGGCTATGGATTATTCGAGGTTTCAACTAAAAGGTTTGAAAAATGTGGAAAAATATATTTATTTACTTGACAAATATATTTCATGTGACGACACACTCAAGAAATTTCAAATTTTCATCAAACAAAATTTGTTGGAGCATCGGCATAAATTCAACAAACTTTCGAATGATTCTGCCAAGGTGAATTTGATATCTTGCTCCAGAAAATTTTGTTAGATGAAAATTTGAAATTTCTTAGTGTGCATAATACATCCAATTCTCAAGGGTTTTCAAATCAATTNTTTTTGAATTAGCCGATTTTGAATACTGTGGAATACTTTTCGTCTACTTTCTTTTTTTATTTATGAAATGTCGATATGAATGAATGTTACTATGTGCGTATTTCGAACATTTGTCTAAAAATGTAAATAAGACTTTCCCATGGTATGAAATTGTTCAGTCCCTTTGAGCCTGAAAAGGAGTTCAAAGTGTAAAACTTATGTAAATGTTCACAAATTATACGCAGTACATCTTAATAATAAAATATGATCCCTGAACATATCTGTGACAATATCTTCTTTTTATAAAGTGTATTCAGAAATGCTTGACAGGTTGTCAGAGAATTGATTTAGAAAAAATTAAATAATTTCAAGAACATTATTGCTTTAAAGATCTGTTCCTGGGCCCAAAAGATTATATAGCGCAAATGTGTGATGTACACTTGCAATATGGAAACAGTACAACAAAATGGTTGTTTTACACTTTTTTCGACTTAATTCCACTCTATACCTATCTCTTTGGTCTCAACCTGTATATTTTTTGTGCCCACTCCCTTTAATTTAAAATCCCCCGAGACCTGGAAACCAAGTTCAGGTTTGTTTGCTGAATGCAGATTTGATTCAACTGAATGAACTGATCTAATTCTACATGATTTATCGATAAAACCAGATTCTAGGAAAATAGAAAATTTTACTCCAACCCGGCCCTGCATCTTCAAATAATAAACATTATAAGAAACCAAACTTCTGTTCTAGAAAAGAGAAAATAAATTTGTATCCGATTGACAACAGAAAAAAAAAACGAACGATGGGCGATGATTTGGATTGATCAGAGGAATGAAAAAACTATCGTTTTTTTAAACGAACGAAAAAAACGCAGGACTTAAAATCGCTTAAACGAGCTTGAAAGAAAAAAGCAATTGTTTTTTACTAGTCTAAAAAACGAACGAATTTACTGAACGATCGTTTAGTGAAGAAACGAACAAAATAGATGGAAAATGAATGATAATTTTTAAAAAAAAACATTTTGAACGATTGAGAAAAACTACCGAAACATGGGTGGTTCACGAACGATGAACGAACGAAATGAAAAAAGCCGAACGTGTCCATCTCTATAATTAAACTCATAAATATATATAGACTCCTTTATACATTAAGATTTATTTGAAGAGTACAAACCTTTAGAATTTCTTAAATCGGCTTGAGCATACTTCAGTGACATCTTTTCTAGAAAATATTTGATTTAACTCTTTTGGTTTTTATTAATTATAATTTTATATTTATTCAAACTATTTTAAAACAAATTTACAATTGGACTGAGATAATCCAATCTTCATTTCAAACTGTTTCTGTGGAAAATTTTAATCTATCAGAGCTAGGCCGAATTTAAAGAATATGAGCCGCGGCTTAAATTTGAGACGCGGCTCAAATATGGTTGTTTCCACTAAAAATCGTATGCAACATTTCAAGATTTAAGCCGGCGCTCAATTAAAACGGGTTTTTAGCTTACTGGAGACGCGGCTCAAATTCATTAAATTCGGACTCTGAAAACAAAAATGGCATGTGCTAGTCAAGTATTTCTTTAAAATATTTAGATATTAGATAGATTTCATTCTGGTGGGAAATTAAATTTGTTGGTGAAAATTTACGAACCAAAGAGATCCAGGAAAGATGTAAGTTCAATGCTGGTGCCCTTTAAAATCCTAAGATCCCTAAAAGTTTTTAAAATTAACTTTTAACTGCTTTTTTATTTTGATTTTTTACTTTGATATTTTGCCAAAGAAGTGAACGCGCCTTTAGAACAAATATGGAGTAGGATTG